AAGAATCAAACATAAATTAAGGAAGCCAGCACAACCCTAATTTTTGACATTTAAACCTAAGTAGAATACAAAATTGTTAATATCGAAACATCAAACGGTCTGACGGAGATGTAGCACTGCAAATACACGATTGAATATTCACAGGATTTTTTTTAATTACATCACAAAAATCACCGTACACATCAAAAAACAAATTGTGCCTAGAATCATCTATTCTAATTTCATGAAAAAAGCAATTTCAAATGACGTCAAAAAGGCCAAAATCAATTTCTTATTTGTGAAAAGCAAAAAACTCAAATAAAAAAAATGACAAAGAAGAAATAATGAAATGCGTTGTTGACTGCTCAGAATGACGTGTGAATATAAAAAATGTACGTACGTGTATGCGTGTGTGTTTGTGTGCGTGCGTGCGTGTGCGTGCGTGCGTGTGCGTGCGTGCGTGCGCGTGCGTGTGGGTGCGTGCGGATGTGTGTATACAACACAGATGCATCTATAAATATTAGTGTATATATCATTGTATATATGTGCTTATGAACATATATTTTGCATTAGTTTTTATACTAGAGTTTCCTCTCATAGTATGAAATATTGTGGTTGGTTCATCTTCTCACAATTTCATCAGCGTTTGTTTGGGAAATTCTAACCTATTTTTTAAATACCAAATACATTGTTGAAAAAATTTGCCACATGTTGCATATATTGTTAAAAATTGCAATTCTCTTACCAATAATTGCGTGTTTAAACATGTTACTTTCATATAAAATATGGTATGTTCTATGGGTTATCAGTTTTCTAAAACACAATTCCATTTAACTTCACATATACATAAAACAGTAAATAAGTGTGAGATGTTATTAAAAAATCATAATTGAATCTCAAAAACTAACCAAATATGAACGCTACTTATTGGAATAAATGAATACCCAGACCTAAATTAATTCCAAATAAGTTTCTGATAAGTTAGGAAGGAAACCGCATGCGTTATTAATTTTATTTATAAATTTGAGAAGTTTTAACTAGTCAGAAACAATATGACATTAATGTTTTTTAAAAGAATTTAAAATAATTTTCAAGTTTTCAAAAGTTTAAAAAAATTATTTTAAATAAATAATTTTATGAAAACCTGGTAAACAAAATCATTCAAAATTAGGCATTCAAAAGCAAACATTCGATCAAGGAAGAGAATATTTTATGGGAAAAATACATCAAACAAAAATGATGTTTTTCAAAACAAACAAATAAAACAAACATACAAAGGCAAACATACAAAGAAAACATACAAAACAAACAATATACAAAGAATCATTAAACCTACTAATGATAGAGTTACAAGACTACTATCACAGCGTGACAACATGCAAATTTTAATTAACATAATACTACTACTCTCCGCATTGAATTTTACGATACCTGTTTGCAACGTGGATTCAAATTTTAATTAAAATACACCCAAAGACTTTATTTGTTTTGGTAATTTGGGGCATTTGTATATGCGTATTGCTGCGAAATACCTAATGTATATTTATGTACGTTACATGTTTGTTGTATAAGTGTGTGTCAGTTTTTTTCCTTTTGTGTAATGTGTGTATGTACGTTCGCTCATTTGTTTGTCGTTCGTGTTTATGTTTGTATGTGTGAACGTATTTCTATGTTTTGTGTTGGTGTTAACGTTTAATGACATCTAAAAATTGTTGATTTGCTTGTCATTGAAACATTTTGATTTTTAAAGAATTTTTAAAATGCACGTCTGGTATACTATTAACAAGTCATTGTTGTTGTTTGTTGCTGTTGTTTGTTGTTGTTGCTGCTGTTGTTGGAGTTGTTGTTGCTGTTGTTGTTGTTTGTGTGTCTTAACTTGGTAAAAATCAAGGTGAAAATCTTAGCAATTTTTTTTTATTTTGATATAACTCTTAACTATGTACATTTGACTCGACGGCTTTACATTTGCTTGTTTCTATTTTTACTGCACGTTCATGCTAATTCAATTTTATTCTCCTATGTTTGTATAGAAGATTTCCATCCTCTGAATGAATCAGAACGATACTATTGTTTATTATATGTGAGTAGTATATCTGTGTGTGTGTGTGTGTGTGTGCGTGTACGTGTGTGTAAGTCTGCCTGCGTGTGTGTACGTGTACATGTGTGTGTTGTGTGTGTGTACATGTATGTATGCGCGTTGCATGCAGTTGCATAACAGAGAACGTACATCAACATTTACTTTTGCTATCGCAAACTTGCATTCGTCTTTCTCCGAATCAGAAATTATTTTTAATTTGCTTTCTTCTGAAGAGAATAAAAATTACCATCGCATATGCTCATGCACACATAGATAGCCGTACATTCATGTAGTATACACACTCCCCACACACACAAACACAAACACACACACACATACATACATACATACAAACAAAATCAAATACAAACTTGTGTTGTTTTTCTATTTTTAGGTAAAAATGTGTACAGCAAATGTACGCAACATACAAATAGGTTTATGCGTGTGTATAAGTGTGTGACGTTAGTGTATATGTGTGTATAAGTATGTGGTGTTTGTTTATGTGTGTGTGAGTGTTTTTGTGCCTGGCTGTCTTTCGTGCATTAATCTTGTTTTTGCATTAGTGGCTCCATTTCGGCTGGACACATCGTAATGTCGTCATCGTTGTTGTTGCTGTGTTGTTTCTATTTTTGTTATTGTTTTTGTTAT